TAAATCTTTGGAAAAAAATAAAGTTATTAAGTGGGATTTTCAAAGGAGTAGATAGATTAGTGAGACAAGACTATGGGAATGCACAAAGCTTTTTACTTCTCACTAACAGTGCTAGAAAAATATTTCACAGATAAAATAGAGGCACATATAAGGATTGCACAAAAGGAAAATAAGACCACTTGTGTCTACCAATAGGAGAATCATAAAAAATTATCCTTGTCCCTATTTCTAGGGACTAGGAATACTTTGTATGTGATATATCTGAGATGTTGTTGCTTAGAAAGAAATTTAGTTATTGGGTTAGACAAATAGCATGGTAATAGTTATATTAGTGTGCACAAAACAATACCTATGTATATCAAGAAAAGATTTGTAAGGACAAATATTAAACTCATAAAAAAGATTAGCTGGTGGTAGGGATGGGACATTGGGGGGAGGGTAATCCCTGACTTTTTCTTTTTTAAGATTTATTTATTAACACACACAGAACTGGGGTACAGGCCAGAGGTGCAGGGGCAGTGGGAGGATTCACTAGAGACAGAGTGGGGAGCAGAACAGGCAGATCAACAGAAATACACTGCTGAGAGGAGCAGTGGGCACATCAGGAGAGGTTTGCCGCACCATGTGGGTCACCTCTGGGGCAGGGATCAAACCTGCATTGAAGTGACTGTGGCTTGCTTTCTGTGTTGCATCCTAACCCATTGAGCCACAGGGAGGGCTGACTTTTATATAATTCTCAATTATTTTTTTGAGGTTTCTTTTTGTTCCTAAATGATAAAAATGCCAAAGGTATTCTTTCCAGAATAACTATTGGAGAAAGGTTTTAAGGTGATTGAATCGTAATCTGGCCGAATCCATCATTTCTTCCCAGTGGAGGAGCATAAGAGGACTAAGGATACAGAGACTGTAGCAGCTTGGAAGAAGTTACTCTTGAGCGGTCTTACTATTTTCTCACTCTCATTCAATCTGCCATTTACCTTCATCATGCATTTAATGGCCAAAGTTAGTGCCACAAATATCTTTCCAACCACAAGGTAAAAAAAAAAAAATATATCTAAGTAATGTGCACCCAAGACCTGTGAAATCTGTCTTTTCTTAAATCTTGTTAAAAGATAACCCAAGTGATCATGTTATGATCACGTACACAATATTATTATGAATTATTGACTCTGTGGGTTTTAATGTGCAGAGGGTGAAGTCTTTCTTCTAGAAGTTACAATGCCGTCTAGACATCCCCTGGAATTCTTTGGCTTCCTCTTCTTCAGAAAAAGAAATTGGAGGTGGTGGTTGGCAGAAACACTGGCCTGCTCTTTGCAGAAGCAGATACACTATCAGTTCCTAAAAGGCAATTTCTGCAAGGAGAAATGCTTTTTAATTTTGTAATGCCATCAAATGAAGAACAAATAATTTGTTGTTTCAAACTTTTGTGTAGAGGAATTAAGGTGGATTTTTAAAAAAAAAATATTTATTTATTTATACATAGAGAACTGGGATACACCAGAGGTGTGAGGGGTGAGAGGATTTACCAGAGACAGAGTGGGGAGCAGAACAGGCAAATTGACTGGCTCAGGGGAAATACACTGCTGAGGGGAGCAGTGGGCAGGCCAGGAGAAATCTGCCGCGCCATGTGGGTCACCCCCTGTGGCCAGGGATCAAACTCATGCTGCAGAGGCTGCTACAGCTTCATAATTCTGCTCTTCAACCCGCTGCGCCATCAGGGAGGGCTCAAGGTAGCGGTTTTGAATCCATTAGGTGTGGGGAGAAGACCACTGGAACTGCCCACACACCCTTAAACAACTACAGCAGCATCTTGTAATTAGCAAACCTCACAGTGTGACCACTTCCAGGATCACCTTCTGAAAAGCTAGAAAAATATTTCATCCTGGATGGAAAACAGATGTTGTATTACACCTGTTGCAGAATGCCCTCTACAGAGCAGCAAAATCACTTTTGAAATGTTTTCTGCTTTGGACCTGCAGAGAAGTGACATAAACTCCATGAATGTGAGTTTCAACCAGGTTATCCAGGGAGGAGGAAATGTGTAGTGAAGTTCTGGCATTTGTCCAGAGCATCAAAGCTTCTGAAGTGACCTGAGTTTTACGCTGTAAACCGTGAAAAGTGCTGAGATGGGACCAAAAGATGCAAGAAGCCTTTGAATGCAATCAGGAAGCTGCCAGAAACAGTAGCTCTCTTAGCCCCATTTCCATGTATTCAGTAGAAATTCAGGCAGAAAAAGCCATTGGGTCTCACTCACAACTGGTTCCTGGATTTTTACTGAAATTGATGCCTTAAATCTCCTGTGATGGTACTTGGCCTGAAAAGACTTATAACGATGCTCTTAAAAGTTTTCTGGATATAAACAAACTCTGGGCAGAAAAAAAAAAAAAAGCAACAACCACCCTCCACATATGACGACTGTAAACAAACAAGAAACTGAAGGATTCAGATGGGGTTTATTTAAGCACAAAGGTGAAAGATATCCAGTTGTCAAAATAGGCTCGAGATTTGCCAAAACCAAGAATTCTGGAGAGTAGCGTGAGATATTATTGCCAAACCCTAACTACTGCAGGGCTAAGCCTTCCCCTAGCCGTTTTGATAACTTCCATTCCATTCTATGGATTTCTCAATTGTTTCTTCTTTTTAAAAAACAAACAAAATAATTAGCCTTGTTTCAGGGTAATTTTGCTAATATTTCCATAATTAAGTAATTACTTCAACCGTGAATTAAAAACTGTCCTGCTGTCTCTGGGTACAGTAAGCTGCCAGCTGTTTTAAATAACCCTTGAGAGCAGTCAGGTTAAGGGCTCAATTTATGACCTTATAAATTAACACAAGGAAGCCTATTCCATAATGCAACAGACAATTCTATTTATAATGCTTAATTAATCCACCCCAGTCACTAACAGAACCCCCTGGTGACCTTTCGTCTCAACCTCACCCAAAAGCAAGTCTCCTGAGATGAGATGTGTTAATACGAGAATGCTGATAGAATGTGCTGACATTATGGTCAAGTAATAAATGGCTGACAGTCTGGATAAATTAACTCCTGATAGCTTACTAATCAAATGTAAGAAGACATGTCAAGTTGGGCAGCACTGATGAAGCCCTTCATCAAAATCCCTGAGCTGGAGAGAGGTAGAGAGAGAGAAGCAACTAACTACATCTGCCATTGCCTGCAAACACTTGCTCTGGGTTTCAGAGAGTCTTGACAACTGAGGCAACTGAGAGAAAGTGTCAGAACTGCATGAAAAGATGACTGTGTGAGGCTATTCTGGGTGGCTTCATTATCTTTCACCATCTTTCTCCTCTGGGCTCTCTCTCCTTCCCCAGTACTGTTACAGCAGCTGAGTATTCATTCTTCTTGATAATTTCTTAAAGCTGTTTTCTCTGAGATTGAGACAGAGAGCCCAAAGGGTGACCTAGTCAATGCTGTCTTCTCGAAGGTATTAGAGAGGAGTTTTCCAGAAAATTCCAAGTATGTCAATAAGCTACAGGGTGTGGGCAGAGTAAGGACTGCAGACTAAGGGAGTATTGCTGTATTGCTGGGCCTCGGCCCTGGGAAGAGGAGAGGAATCACATGTACCGCTCAGGCATTGTGTGGTCCAAGGAAGCAGCAGTAACCTGAGCACAGAAATACTGCCTAGCCTGCTGGAATACATGTGGAGAACTTTATCAGGCTTTAGGACTAGAGTATTTCCGTATCTTCATGACTTAGGATTAGATTTCATTTTTGTCCACCATGTTCAGGAGTGCTACTTCTGGCTCTCCTGTGACTCTTTTGGTGAGTTCCTTAACCCATTGCCTTTGTTCACAGTGGGGAGCATTATAGTACCTACCTCATAGGGTTGTTGTGAGCATTAAATAGCGTTAATAAATAGAAAAATTTTAGATAGTGCCTGGCACATCGAAGGCACTTTCTGAACCTTGGCTGATCTTATCAGATCATCTTGGCACGATCTTTCTCCTCTGGGCTCTCTCTCCTTCCCCAGTACTGTTAGAACAGCCAAGTCAGGCTACCAGGCCCTCTCTTCTGGATAGCTTTCTCATTCACTCCCTTAGTCTAAATCCGAATCTCTCCTATTACATTACACACAATGTTGCCACCTGACTCATTCCAAAGTCCACCTCTGATCTCACCCCTACCTTATTCAGTGGTTTACAGAGTTCTTCAGATATAGTCTAACTCCCTTCACCTTGACTTCAAACCTCATTCCAGTCCCACCACCCTGACCCTCTGTTCACTCTCTAACCCCTCCTCTCTCTGAACTTTCTGCTGAGTTCTCCCTTCCCTGCAGTCACATTACTTTCATTCTTCTACATGTTCCCTTATTCTCCGAAGCTTGTTCTAGCATGTTCTTGCATTTATACCTGTACCCACTGTTCTCCGCACTTGAAATTTACTTCCACCCCAATGTCTTCTGGTTTAAAATTCTAGTAACCTTAAGAGCCAGGCCCAGAAGCCTCTATCTTCCCTGGTATCTTTCCAATCTTATAATTTTACCATCCCCCTTCCTTTCTTGAACATAAATGCACTTTATCTTTCCTTAAAACAACAACAGCAACAACATAACTTCAACCCTAGTTACTGCCATTTCAAGTATCTGTTGTATCAAGTATCAATTTAAATGTCTCCCTTTTAGTAGGTTTCATATCAGCCTCTAAGGACCTTGGCTGGGACCTTGCCTCTGGAGGGTGTTCTGCTCTATCTTGTCCCAAATTTATGTGATACTCAGAGTGGGCCCTCTACAAATAGGCCTGGAAAATAAGAGCAGTCGAAGGGCCCCAGATGACAGCCCGGTGTTGTGGTTCATCCTTTCTGTGATTCTCACTACCCTATTCCTCCTTTTATGAGTGGCTATGGAAATATTTCAACCCCAAAAGTAAATGGGATGAAAAAAATGTTATCAGGAAAAACAAACATGCAAAATGCACACTTGATCCCCAAACAACAGATTCCTTCTTAAGAAGGAACAATGAAAAAAATTTCTGCAGTCCAGTACCTTTATATCTGGTTACTACAGCTGCGTTGACACTGAGAGGCTCTTGGAAGCTGACAGTGAGTGATGTGCTGCTGGTTACCATGAGACAGGCGTGGGTTGGCACCTCAGGGGCTCCTGGGACAGAAGGAAAAACACAGGGATCTTAACATAGCAAGCCCTTTTCAAACAATGTTCCCGCCTCTTCAAAGGATACCCTGCAACACACACTATGGAGACATTTGTTTGTAGAGCCTAATAGCTTGTGCTTTTGAACATTTTCATTAGAAGTCTCAATGGTCTTTATTTGTTGCCATCATGGTTTTATTTGAGCATTAGAACATCTTCTGAAGGGGTAAATAATACCAGTTAAGCTTCCCAAAGTATCCTAGGAACACAATAGGAGACTGGACCAGTGGAGAGGAGGCCAGAGAGTGTCAGCAGGAATGGACGCTATAGGCAGGCCCGTTCCACTTCCTAAAGTTCTTTCAGGGCATTTCATTGGAGCCTTTTTACATCTTTGCTGAACTGAAAGGGCAAGTCACACCCACACTTTTAGGATGAAAAAGTTGCAACCTACAGAAACCAAATCACTTGTTCAAGGACACAGCTAAGACATAGCTAGAATGAAAGCTCATGGCTTTGGAACATCTGACTCCTGGCTCTTTTCCAGCATGGACTGCTCACTCACTTCACTCTGTGGCATCACGTAGGAGTTTTCTAAGCAACAATTCATAGACAAATGTCATGTCCATGAACCTTGGCTTTTAAAGGACTCCTCATGGCTTTCAGCTTTCCTTAGCATGGCGAAGGTGTTTTGTTATTTAGAAATGACCCACAAAAATGGCATCAAGTCAAAACATACAACTGCTAGTATCAATCTGTCCTGAATGAGATGCAATAGCAGATGGATTTATAAAAACAATGATTGGGTGTTTTTAAAAAGAAATGTATCAACGTTGCTAAAGAGGTTGTTAGTGAGGAATGTTAATTTTCATTAATGTTAATTTTTTGGCTTTAAGAGAAAGGGTTAGACCAAGATTTGATACCCAGTGTGTAGGACTACTTTAATTTTAGAAATAAAGTTTTATTGTAACTACAAAGGGCAGGTTTGTTAAGGAAAGAGAAAAGGTATAAAGGTCATATGCATAGGTGTAAACAGGCAGTTATTAAAGGGCAAGGGCTGCCTTGTGAAAGGGGCAGGGTTGTTAAGGAAGAAGCACTAGAAAGACACAGGTGGCTGTCTTAGGGGAAGATCTGTGACACAGTATTACTTCAGGAAAAAGATTTTTCACTGCCTTTGGTTTTTATATCACAGCAAAGTTCCTGGAACAGAGACAGATCATCTCCAAACTGATGAACTGACTGTTCCCTTGTATGTAAAATTTTGAATCTACCATTTCTTTTTGACTCAAAGAAGGTCTCCCTTTGGAATAAGAGTTTAATATTCCATAAGTGCTTGATATATGTATATAAAATGTATATATGTATATAAAATAATCAGGGGCTGCACTCATCGGTGCTTTCCTTTACTCATGAGTATGATCCAGAACAAGGCTTTTCTTAAAAGACTTGGTAGAGAGGATAGTCGTGCAGACAAAGCATAATTCATGGGCTGATTGACTGTCCTCTTTTGCTGCCTACATTCACTAACTGAAGGTCTGTTTATATAAGCTCTATATAAAAAGTGCAGTAGAGTCGAAAACTACTTAAACTTCAGCTTGAAGCAAAAACTGGACAAACAGGCAAACAAATATTTCTCCACCTCCACATCCCAAAATACAGCCACTGAGGGCATCAGCCCACCCAGGTCATTGGGCATTAGGGCACAACAGTGGAAAGCCCTAGATGAGTGTGACGTGGTGGAGGGAGGCCAGAAGCACTGAAGCCTTATGGCTGTGGTCAGAGAACCTATCGGGAGCCAGAAAACCAAGCAAGACAAAAGGTCCTTTTACAGCCTCTCAGCGCCCTTGCTCCAAACAGGCTGACAACGCCATCTGTGACCTCGTAGAGCTGCAAAAAAATCAGTGAAAGAAGGCCTGGTTGTCTCTAACCAAGATTTGGCCTAGTTAAGCATTGAAGTCCTCTGCTTATACTCACTGGCATGTTCGAAGCCCGTTTTCATGCGTCTGTACAGCCGATACCTCCATTCCCAAGCTTTCAGCTGTTTCTCTTTCTCTGTGTTGTCCAGACTGAATCCTTCGTTCTCCACCTGAGCAGCCAGTTCACTCACCCTCTCCTGGGCCTCCTGCACCAGTGTGTTGAGGTGCATTGCTCGACTTTCCAGGCTGACAACTGAAGGAAAAGACAGGGGATGAATCCTTTTTCTTTCTGGAGAAATGCCACTTTGTGGGGAGGATAGCTAGGAATACTCTATGGGCTTTGAAAAATACTTGGGGCAGACCCTCTGTTATTAACTATCTAATTCTGATAAAGTCTAATTAGTGACAATTACAACTAGATTAAATGACAAATCCATCTGTGTATGATGTCCCCATTGCTTTCTGACCCACTTGTCACACCCCCCTCTCCCCCACAAATAGCTGCTTAGCAGTTCTTTAGAATTCCACAATCAAGTTACCACAAGGACCACTTCTAATACAGATTGTATACATTTGTTTCCAGAATCTTCAGAGGTACAAAACTCTCAGGGGCAAAAGCTCAAAAGCTCTGTAGGGCCAGGAAGATCCTAAGAAAAATCATTTTGAGGCAAGTTGCCTTCTGCTCAGAGGCTTGGTCATTTTCCCCTCTTTTTGGTACAACCAGATTCAGATTTTCTGCTCTTACACCTTCTGCCCAGCTTCTAGACAATGTTTGTCTTACTGGCATAATTCTGTCATTATTAAGCAATCTATTTTCAGGGGTCTCCCACAGGTGCAGCAGGAGTGCTAGAATTCTGATGGCTGGATGATTTGGGTGTGATCAGACATTGGTCACTAATATTTTGATTTTTGTGGGCTGATTGTAGAAATGGCCCCTGGAGATGCCCAGGCTTAAAAGAGAAAATTCTATGAGCTCCTCTTGCTGAGAGGTGAAGCTGGTGTTATCAATGCACGATGTCTTGATTTGGTTCACATCGTGCTGTTGACCTAACCGTCCTTGTGTGAGTGAATGTGCCTGTCAGTGATAGAAAGTTGCACATGCTTGTGTCATACTGGTAGTCTGCTTCTGGGGGTGGACCTCTGGCTCTTAGGCATGGGAAGAGCTGCTTAAGCGGTCACTTGGTTACTTGCGAGCTCTCCTTGGCTAGTGACAAAGAGAAGAAGCCTTGGCCTAGGCGTGCAGCAGGCCATCGTCCACTTAATGAAGCAGATTAGTATCAAGTTGTGCAGATTTGTCACTGACATGAGTTTGACACCCTCCCCAACCAAAACAATATATTCCCCTGGTGGGTAGGCAAGAAACCCAGTCATTGCATTCTTCTAATTAGGGGGGAAAATATTATGAAGATAACTCAAGTGAAAATTTGTGAGGCATATTTTGAAATGGAAATTAGGTGGTTCTATATTCGTATTCTCTGTGTTCATAGGCATGTTTGCATTAATTACAGGAAATGAATACTAATTTATTATTGCTCCTGCTCACCATCAGTCTAAATTTATTTACAGATGAGGTCAATGAAAAATTAGTGGAGTCTTTTTTTCTTTTTCTTTCTTTCCTTCTTCTTTCTTCTTCAAGCTGCTGTTTAGAACACTCGGGACTGTGTTTTGCTGCAGATTGGTCATGGTTAATGAATGTTGCTGTAGCAGTCAATCATGTACTCTAAATACTGTCACACTTTTTTTTAAAGCCTCAGTCATGAGCCTTGACAGAAAAATAAACAAATAAATATAAAGCTAAAAAACTCTTTCACTGAGCAACTACATTATGCGGAATCCCCCGGGAAGGCTAAAGGAGGCCAGAATAAATGATAATATAAGTGCTGTGGACGTAGGGAGGCAATGATGGGGTATGAACACGGAGGTTCTGGGGAAAAAAAATACACATACACACACGTGGGCACGTACTCCAGTGGAAAAATTGGCAATATTAGTAGCCTCAAGGTGCAATTTCCTGGAGCAGTGAGATTGACAAGTCAGTACTAAATGCTGTTAATTTAACTAACTTCAGATTAATGGTACAGTCTGCTATGACTGAAGCCCTCAAACACAGTCTCATTATAGCCTTGCTGGGAAGGTCCTAAATATAGGCATTGACAGTTTAAAACAAATTCGTATACATTTGTGTATTTTTAGACATAGGTTAGGCGTCAGAGTTTGTGTCACAGTTTTCAGGTTGATTAATTGACCCAGTAACTGCACCCTCCACCCACTCTCCCCCTCCTTTTCCACTCCAAATTATAGAGAAAATGGGGGAATTGTCCTTGCTAAGTCATTCAGTGAGCTTTTTATTGTAAGCCTGATGTTTGAATTGCATGCATGCGTCAACACTTGGGTGATAGACACATGATTTATAAAAATAAATTTTTCTAATACTATGAAATCCCCCCTATTAATTTTTATATCCATAACAGTTATTACGGGTGTGAATTCCAGGTGGCATTTCAGATGGACAGCTTCTCTTGAGCTATGCTTGGCTCCCCCTGAAATTTTTCCTGCTTTCCCTTACACAACACATTTTGTTTCTAGACTTTGCTTTTCTTCTAGGCTGTAGACTCGATACTCTTTGAATTGGAGCAGTGAAGGGATTTTATATCTTAAAGATAAAGCGTTTTGCATGTTCATAGACTAACAAGGGAGATGCACAGAATTTTATAGCCAAGTGAAGTTTCCAAGATCATATTCTCAAACTGTGAGTCTGGAACTGAGACACCTAAACTGAAGTATAAGTAATATGGTGATGGTGTTGGTGGGATGCGGAAGTCTATCTCTGTGACCCAGAAGGATTATGTGCATCTTTCTGAGTGTCAATTTTTCCATTTGGTGAAGGCACATTATTTAGAAATTAAAATAAACACTTCTATTATAGAGAAGAATAAAAAAATTGCTCCCAAATGGACAATTTTTAAAAAGAGAAGCTTTATAGAAATCTCTCCCTTTTATTTATTTTTTTTTTCGGCCTAAGTCCCCAGGTGCCTCCGGGACCCACTTGCCTCTGTTGTTAGAGGTAATTCTGTGGACAAGTGGAGAGACATGGCTTCCAGCCATTGCACCAAGCAAACCGTTTATTATTTTTTTCCTATGGATTTTTTATTAGTTTAATAAAACACTCTCTTTTGAAAGACTTTCTTTATTGACACAAATCAGCTGACTTATAAAGTAATCATTTTCCTCCCTATCATTAATGACCTATATAACCACCAATAGAAGCATCTGTTCAGTGTGAGAGAATCCACTTAACTAACTGGGTTAATATATTTGAATCAAAAGCAAATAATTATATTCTACTGTGTGGTTTAATCATGAATGCAGTAGTTTTGATATAGTTTTATCTTATGTGATAGTGTAGGCCATAGATGCTTTGGAAATTGTTCTGGGAGCTCATTGCTACTTACCACCCATGGATGATACCCTTTCAACCCCTTTATTTTAAAGATGAAAGAAACAGACCCACAGAGGAAGGATGATTATCCAAGATTTTCTTAAAGTTCTTAAACATTTCAATGAACTTTCTCTATACCAAATGTAATACAAATTAACCTATTATTTACATATTGCAATTTTCTAGTTACTCTTTGGCACAAAATTGGTGAATTCATGTTGGTTGAATGGACATAGAGACTAGAAAGGCTGTGTCTATTTTATGACCGATTTTCCTGCCCATCCACTTTTCTTATTCTTGGGTCCATTCCCTTTTCTCTTCTACCCTCTGGATATTTTCCCCTTGAGTCCAGAACTCCTGATCAATTTGCAAGGTTTGGCCTTTTCTCTCTTACTGAAGTTAGTCCTTTCTCTAACCAAGCAACTATCCCTCTGAACAGCCATAACCAGCACAATGGAGGGTCTGTAAGTGTGTGGTGAGTAGTCCGGCTGGGCAAGGCCACTCAGCGGCTCCTGGAATAGGCTCCTTGCTATTGTGGTGTTTAATGATCAACAGCGTTTCTACCACCCAGCGTTTCTGAGAAGGTATTTGTTATAAGGCCTGCCCAGCTAATTAACTAGGGAGGAGGGGCGGGGGGAGGGACAGGAACTTGGTGTTCAAAGAATACAATTACAGTTACTGTTTAAATCCTGAGATAAAAAAAATGATCGGACTGAGTGGATTTTTTCACCATCAGAATCTAACTCGTGAGTGGCCAATTACTCACTATTCCTTAATTTCACCCTTGCCCTGAGATTGGTGAGTTTGGGTCTGGTTGCTAATTGCTTTAAGTTTGAAAATATGAGAATTAAATGTGAACCCATTTCAATTTTTAATTGAAGTGTGGGGGGAACAATTCATTTGACTGGCTTGAAAAAAATTAATAATTTGCTCATTACTAATCATATACCATGTTGTAATTTAGCAGCAACTTTTCTATTATTAGCATTTTCCTTTTTGATGAGAAAAATGAGGTACTGTGGCAATCATTTTATCTTCATAGTAGAAAGATCCTGAAGATCTGAATCTATGGCTGTCTGTTTCGATGGTACCCCTGGGTCCTATATTATTTCGTCTATGAGGGGAACTCACTGTTCACCAAGACAGTCTAGCCCACTTTCCTTTCAAATTTTGATTTAAAAGAGTTTGCTTATCCTGAGCTGAAATCTGCTTTCCTATTATTTCTGAAGTGGAGGCAGGCTGGTAAAGGGCTTTAGGTCCTATAGATTAAGTACCACGATTATGAATGAATCACCCAACTAGTTACATTGCCATCTTGAGTGGCAGAATAATAGCTGCAGTCTCTTAAATTGTGGTAAGTTAATGATAGTGTTTACATTGAAGGCACTTAATTAATGGAGGTTTGTATCATTATTATTACGGCAATTGGCTTGTGTTATGTTCTTGAGGCATACTCACACAAATCAAAGACTTGCTTTAGAAAATATAAGCTCTGTTCCTTCCATTAAAAAATCTCTTGCTAGATAAAATATTTCTGTGGCAGGTACCATTCAGAAAATATTACTAAGTGGTGTCAGTTTCAAACCTATCTGTTATTTCAAAGTAGAAAACAGGTCACTTAGGTAGAAGTCTCGCACTGTAAGCCAATATCATTTGTACAACCAAGAATATGAGTTTTCAGGTAGGCACATCAAAAGGAATCTTACAGAATTACTCCAATAACTACATGTTTTTAAATTCAAAAACCCTCATACCAGAAAAATTCAGAGCATTAAGTTTCAATTTACTTGTCTGAAATTCACTTTGGCTTCACT